GTCTGTCTGTCTGTCTATCATCTGTCTGTCTGTCTATCTATCATCTGTCTGTCTGTCGTCTGTCTGTCTGTCTATCTATCATCTGTCTGTCTGTCTGTCTGTCTGTCTATCTATCTATCTATCATCTGTCTGTCTGTCTGTCTGTCTGTCTGTCTGTCTGTCTGTCTGTCTGTCGGTCTGTCTATTATCTGTCTGTCTGTCTGTCTGTCTATCATCTGTCTGTCTGTCTGTCTGTATGTCTGTCTGTCTATGTATCTATCATCTGTCTGTCTATCTACCTGTCTGTCTGTCTGTCTGTCTGTCTGTCTGTCTGTCTGTCTGTCTGTCTGTCTGTCTATCTATCTATCTATCTATCTATCTATCTATCTATCTATCTATCTATCTATCATCTGTCTGTCTATCTACCTATCTATCTGTCTGTCTGTCTGTCTGTCTGTCTGTCTGTCTGTCTGTCTATCTATCTATTGTCTGTCTGTCTGTCTGTCTGTCTGTCTGTCTGTCTGTCTGTCTGTCTGTCTGTCTGTCTATCTATCTATCTATCTATCTATCTATCTATCTATCTATCTATCATCTGTCTGTCTATCTACCTATCTGTCTGTCTGTCTGTCTATCTATCTATCATCTGTCTGTCTGTCTGTCTGTCTGTCTGTCTGTCTGTCTGTCTGTCTGTCTGTCTGTCTGTCTGTCTATCTATCTATCTATCTATCTATCTATCTATCTATCTATCTATCTATCTATCATCTGTCTGTCTATCTACCTATCTATCTGTCTGTCTATCTATCTATCTATCTATCTATCTATCTATCTATCTATCTATCTATTTGTCTATCTGTCTGTCTGTCTGTCTGTCTGTCTGTCTACCTATCGGTCTGTCCGTCCGTCCGTCTATCTACCTGTCTGTCCGTCTATCTGTCCATCCGTTCATCTGTCTATCTAAATGTACTGACTGTTTACTCTTCCTCAAGTCATTCTTTCTTCTGTTGAACACAAAAAAAAAAAAGATTTTCTGAAGAATGCTGAAAACCTGTAACCATTCATTTCCATAGTATGCGTATTACATAACCATGTAGTCTATGGTTACCATTTTCAGCATTCTTCAAAATATCTTCTTTAGTGTCAACAGAATTTTTAAAAACTGACTTAGAATCACTTGAGAGGGAGAAAGAGATAGTTTTTTAGGCAAACTAGCCCTTATGTGTGTTTGCATTTGTACATGTTAGGTAAAAGCTCAGTGACACAAAGGAAAGCTGAAAACCTGTAACCATTGAGCTCCATAGTATTTGTTTTCCTACCAAAGATGTCAGTGGTTACCGGTTTTTCAGCATTCTTCAAAATATCTTCTTTTGTGTCCAACAGAATTTGGATATGCCCTTTTAATATGTGTGTTTGTTTGTATTTATGCATATTAGGTAAAAGCTCAGTGACTGTGGCGTCCGGCTGGAATCCTCCTCATCATGTGCTCTGCCGGTCCCTCTCTGGCGCACACGCGCTGCGATGAAGCGGTTGCAGTGAAGGATCATGGGAGTTTCTCCTCTGACAGACACGCCAGGCTCCTGCTGGCTCAGATGAATAAGATGCGTCTGCAGGCCGACTTCTGCGATGTGCGGCTGCTGGTGGGCGGACGACGGTTTGGGGTCCATAAGCTGGTGCTGGCTGCCAGCGGGCCGTATTTCGCCGCTCTGTTCTCCGGAGCCATGAGCGAAGCCCACGAGGAGGAGGTGCGCATCGCTGGAGTGGAGCCACACGTCTTTGAGATCCTCCTGGAGTTTATCTACACCGGTTTGCACTGCTGTTTTTTGTTTCAGGCAACTGCCGAAAACTAGAATATTAAAGGGGTAGAGCTGGGCGATATGACAAAAAATATTATCACCTATAACAATTCCAAGCTAATTTAAGACATTTGAAACACAGTACAGTAACAATAAATCAAGCACTTGTAGCTTGAAGTTAAATTGTACAGTATGTTGTCGTTTACACATTGAAAGGGATGCATGGTTATTTTAAATTTGATTATATGATGACAGAATTTTCAGTTTTGGGTGAACTTTCCTTTAAAGTAAAGATCATACGCAAAAAAGACATCTGCAATTTTAGTTTAATTGAGTAAATGCCATCAATATATCATTATTAGTAACCTGTAAACCATCCATAGTAGGAAAAACAAATACTATGGAAGTCAATGGTTACAGATTTTTAAGATCATGGCAGAGTTAGAATTTTTGAGTGAACTAACCCTTTAATTTAGCCAGCTTTGACCTGTATGTGGTTCTAAATTCTGTTGAATACAGAAGAAGATATTTTCAAGAATGCTGAAAACCGGTAACCATTGACTACCTTAATAGGAAAAATAAATACTATGGAACTCAATGGTTACAGGTTTCTAACATTACTTAAAATAACAGCAAACAAAAATCGTCCAAGTCTAGGGTGAGTAAATAATGGCAGAATTAGAAAATTAATTGGAAAAACAAATGCTATGGAAGTCAATGGTTACAGGTTTCCAACATTCTTTAAAATAACAGCAAACAAAAGTCGGCCAAGTCAAGGGTAAGTAAATAATGGCAGAATTAGAATTTTTGAGTGAATTAACACTTTAATTTGGCCAGTTCTGCCCTGTAAGTGGTTCCACATTCTATTGAACACAAAAGAAGATATTTTGAAGAATGCTGAAAACCGGTAACAATTGACTACCTTAGTAGGAAAAATAAATGCTATGGAAGTCAATGGTTACAGATTTTAAAAATAATGGCAGAACTTGAATATTTGCGTGAACTAACCCTTTAATTTGGCCAGTTTTGCCCTGTATGTGATACTAAATTCTGTCGAACACAAAAGAAGATATTTTGAGGAATGGTGAAAACTGGTAACCATTGACTACCTTAGTAGGAAAAATAAATACTATGGAAGTCAATGGTTACAGCTTTCCAACATTCCTCAAAATAACAGAAAATTGGACAAGGGTGAATAAATAATGGCAGAATTTAAATATATTTGGGTGAACTAATCCTTTAAAATGGCTAGGAATGCTGAAAGCGGGTAACCATTGACAACCTTTGTAGGAAAAACGAATACTTTGCAAGTCAATGGTTACAGGTTTTTAAATAATGGCAGAATTAGAATATTTGAGTGAACTAACCCTTTCATTTGGCCAGTTTTGCCCTGTATGTGAATGCGGGACTATAAGCAGCTGTTGTTTTGGTTGTGTCAGGCTTATTGATGTGACGGTGGACACGGTGCAGGAGCTGATGGTGGCCGCAGATATGCTACAGCTGACGGAGGTGGTTGAGATCTGTGGTCAGTTCCTGCGCGCTCATATGGACCCGTCTAACTGTGTGGGAATCTATCGCTTTCTGGAGCAGATCGCCTGTGTGGAGCTGCTGCAGTTCACTGAGGACTACATACACGTCCACTTTCTGGAGGTCGGTTTACTCTTCTGCGGTGATTCTTGGCATTGTGATTTTTATTTTTTATTTTTAAAATCTTTTTATTAACATTTTGGTCAATAAAACATCAATTTAAAAAGTATTTGAAAAACAGAGACAAATGATCTTTGCTCCAACAGAGCCCCCCCACCCCACAGCACCATTTATAAACAATATGTTATGCCTATTTTTAATCTGTTTTACATTCTGTCGCAATATATACATACATACAATACAAATAGACAAAAGTTCCATTATATGTTCACTCATCTATTGTACATATATACGCACACAACGAGTCACAATAGGCTTAGCAAATGTAAAATAAAGAAATAAAATAATTTAGATAGAAATTAAAATGTAGTCAAATAAAATGGAGGGGAAAAAATGTGAGATTCAATTCAATTCAGCTTTATTTGTATAGCGCTTTTACAATGTAGATTGTGTCAAAGCAGCTTCACATAAATGGTCATAGTAACTGGAACAGTGTGGTTCAGGTTTTAGTGTTTAAGTTCAGTTCAGTTCAGTTTAGCTCAGTTCAGTGTGATTTAATCATTACTGAGAGTTCAAACACTGAAGAGCAAATTCATCGATGCGTAGCTCTACCAATCCTGAACCATGCGAGGCAGTGGCGACAGCGGAGAGGGAAAAAAAACTTCACCTGATGGGAGTGAAGAAAAAAAACCTTGAGAGAACCAGACTCAGTTGGGCACGACCATTTTAATTTCTCCGCTGGCCAAAAGTCTTGTGCAGAGCTTCAGTCGCCGTGGTTTAGGCTGGAAGATGGCCTAAGCGAATACTCGTCTGTCCCTGGAGCGTCGCTTGAATCAGACTCATGATCTCCACTCCCCATGACCATCAGCGCAGCAGCAGCTCAGGATACGGCCTGGTCCCGGATATGGAATCCTTGGGATCATCACGTCGCCGGTCTTGGATCCAATCAGTGACTCCGCATAATCTGAGGACCTCGGGATGAGTATCCCCAGGTGAAAATAGAGAATAAAGAAAATAATTAGCGTAGCTGCTGTTCATAGTGTATATAAGCAAGATGCAGAAGAAAACACATAAACAAGAGAAACACATAAACAATGGTCAAACTGAAAAAATTAGGTTTGGATCCATTTGTTTTATATATGTCAACACTGGCTGCCAAATAAGATGGAATTTTTGACTGCAACCTTTGGTGGAGTACCGAATCTTCTCCATTGTAAGATGGTACATAAGGTCCCTAATATAATGATTAAAAGTTGGAGGAAATTTGTCCTTCCATTTGAGCAGTATAAGACGTCTAGCAATTAAAGTTGAAAAAGAAATCATGCTTTTGGTATTATTGTCTAAACCGGGATCTGTTATTAAACCAAATATACCTGTAACAGGGCAAGGGTCAATTGTTATATGTAAAACATTTGAAAAAAAATTAAATATTAATTGCCAGAACTTGGTAATTTTAGAGCATGACCAAAACATGTGTGTGTGATTAGCTATTTCTACGTCACATCTATTACATAGGGCAGGGGTGTCCAAACTTTTTGGGCCAAGGGCCAGATGCAAAAAACAAACGTTGTCGCGGGCCAAATT